TGTTAAAATAAAAATTTAAAGCTACTTAAAGAAAGTAAGAAGTAATGTAACTTTTTAGTTTTATAGGGAACTCAGATTGTCGGTTTAAAATATAATATTAACACAATAAGACTTATCTAATTCAAAAAACAGTGCATTTTAATAATTGTACTGATAAATAAAGACAAGTACTAATTTTTGTATAACGTCTAGTTTGGTAAATTTCTATATGTAAATTTACCGATAATGGAATTTCTCAATATTGAATTATAGTATACATGCTAACCTGGAATATCGAAGCTCCATAAGGCGTGCGCCAAGCGTTCAACAAATTGTCCTTGCCAGTGGAAACGAACCACTTGCCACAGGACGCGAATCTCAGCGATAGTACACAGGACTCGTGCAGGTGCAGCTGATATTTGTCCGGTGTGGTAGCGTTTAACACCTCGACGTTCGAGTTCTCCATCCCCACCGCCAACCACTCTCCCGTGGGACAGTAACCGAGGGAAAATATCTGCGAGGTGAAGTCGTGTTGCTTTAACTGTCTACCCTCCCTAAGGTCCCATGAGCGCACAGTGTTGTCCAGCCCTCCGGTCCACAATTTCGACCCGTCAGCGGAAATATCGATGCACGAGGCACCGTCTGTGTGACCTTGGAACTGCCTGACCAAAGACTGATTCTGGAGATCCCAGACGGCAATGCTGCCGTCGCTGCAGCAACTGAAGCAGACCTTCGAGTCCGGCGAGATGGCCAGAGCGTAGCACGCGGGGGCGGACGAGATCAACTCGGCCTTGATCCTTGGCGTTGGGCTGGCCAGATCCCAGATACTCAGCCGGCTGGCTTCGCCACCGACTATCAGTGTCCTGCCGTCCGGTAACAACTTCACCGACCTAGACAAGTTACACGTACGCGATGTACAGTGGGATTCGGAAATATATGTTTTGTATTCGAGAATGATTTCCAAATATAAATATAGGTACCTATTTATTAAAAGGTTTTTTGTTTTAATAAACTATACTTGATGGCATCGAGCTCATTTTAACCCTTTTAGTGGCAAAGAGGGTATATCATTGCGCGTGCGATGGCATTGTACTATTCGTATCGCGAAAGAACTGTGC